GAAATGAAAATCATCATAATTGTAATTTGGCCGATACCCATTAATAGGCTGATATCTCAGCAATCCGAAGGACTTTTCTAATACAAATTTTACCGAAGAAAGCTAAAGACTCAAGCGTTTGAATGCTGGGTTTTCGGATCTCCAAAATGGTTGTATGACTAAGATACAACCAATGCAAGATAACGATAGTGTTTGGTGTATAACTCTGTTCTATTAAGTTGAATTGATATCGGATCGGTGTCTATGATCAGCATTTGTCAGTACTCACATGTGGCCAAAATCTCAAACGAAAAGTTTGAAATATTGATAAAGTTCAGGGAGGTGAGGGACTTATGGGCAGAACTGTAGTCGATATAAAATGTAGTCAAAAGTTTTATAACTAAAGGGGAAAAATTTTATTTAAAATAAAGCCTTTGATTCAAAAAAAAACAATTCGATCAACGACAAAAAATGAGCAGATAGAGAATAGTAAGCAAATAGTTCGCGTGTCATGAAAAAGGACACTTCTTTCTTTGATGGATACGAATTATTATAGGACATGGATTATTTCAAATTGATATATAGTGTCATATTAACGAGTATTATTATAGACTAGATTTCTTCTTATAAAGACATTATTAGATTATATGTAGAGTTATTTTAGCTGGTCGGCTCAGAGTCTTGTTCTAAAATGTGACTATATACATTGAACAAAACTCGAAAATGCAAATTTTAATTAATTTGTAACAACCTTACTTTTATAGGATGTACTGTTAATAATATTACGATAAAATATTGATATATCTACGCTTAAGTTCGTTTGAATGAGCTGACTTTTCGTTAGTTTTTGAAGCTTATTTAAAGTTTTTGTTTTCGTACGGATAGCGTAAACAGATACTACTGTCAAGTTATATTTTTGGTCTCATTCAAGAAATTTCAACGATTATTAAGTAAGAAAAATACATATGAAGCGTGTCAAAAACAAGAAGAAATCAATATGAACTACCTTGATGTAAATAGAGTCAGTTCTCAAAACTATGTCGCAATGACTTTAAATGTTGAAATTCGTACTCCATTGCAGCTCTTTCGACACTAACTTCCTTGCAAAAACAGTGTTTCATATTTGCAAATTCAAAATTTTGTAACCATTGACTTTAAACTAACTAGCAGCAAAAAGTTGTTTTCGTGTGTATGAATAAAATTTGTTATGATTTCTTACTATTATCTTCTTGGATAATAACTGAAAGTTATCTATGAAACGTTTTATATGTAATTTTTTTACTTGATGATAGGTGAAAGTTCTTGGGTGAAACCCAAAATATAACTTGATAGTAGTATTGATTTACGTTATTCCTATAAACAAAGAAACTTTAAATAAGCTTCGATGAATGACGAAAAAAATCAATCTATTCCAACAAATAGAAACGAAGATATTTCAATTTTTTTATCATATTGTTAGTTATGACTCATCCTATGTTTTTAATAAAACAATCTTCGGTTTCTTATGAAAATTTTCTCGACTAATATTAGTATCAATCAATATTCGTTGGACTATTTTTTTCTTTTCAAGCATAAATACTATTAAGGCAATACTCTCTTTTTATCTATGTCGTTATCTGTCTTACGTATCGTTAATCAACTGTCTTAAATATCACATCAATATAAAAACAACGCTTAGACAGAACCTATAGGATATCTGAGCTCTTCTATTCCTTTTTTTTTTTTTTTATTAAACTTATAACGTATAATAAAGAAGAGCCGTTCACTCTTTATTTTTTTTGTTAATAGCAGGACTTTCTGCCTGTGAAACTTCTAAAATCACAAAGAAGAAAAATCTTTTAAAGGGAACAGTTCTTTTTTTTTTTACCTCGCGAGAATAGTTTTTGACCTTTCAATGGTATAGTTTTTATAAAATTTTTACAATAACATTTTTATTAATAGTTTTATGATTTAGATACTTGATCAGAACCTCGCTGTTATAATGCCACCGTCGATATCATTGCAGGTATGAATTAAAAAAAAAGATAATATATTATGCAAATGAAATATAAAAATATGACTCAATTCTTAACGGAAGTTTACTGTACTAGTAAATGATAAGATTTTTCTTTATAAGACAAGTTAAACGATAGAACAACAAAGAAAAATAGAAATGAATGTTTCACAACGAAGAACAAACGAAGATTAAAACAGACTTGTTATTATTTGTTTTGATCGTATATTCAACATATGAGTGCAGATCAATCTGATCCGTTGGCTCTTTAGACAGACAAAGATGTCGATTTTTTACTAAAAGGGAACAAACTATTCATTGTTTTCCATGTAACTTTACTCAAATTATAATATAAACTTACAAGGACAAAAAAAATGAGTGGTTTGTTCCGTTTTACTGCAACAAGCATTGTGTTCATATGTCTCAATATAGTAAAACATCCATGAATACTAAGACAAATTAACTATTCTATTATACTAATCTAAATTAATGCATTTTTTGTTGAATAGGAGAAAAAGAACTAATTTTATAATGCTTGAAACTTAAATATGATATTTATTTCTAATTAAATAGAAAATAAATCTTCAGTTTTCAAATGCGTAAAAATTATTTTCTTTATAAGGTAAACATCTATTTTTTTCTTTACTACTATCATTTTTTTCACATTACTTGTGTACGTGACTAGAAATGATATTACCACTATTGATAGTAGAGAGAATACTTGATATTTTTAATGAAAATCGAAGTATAATTAAAATATAAACAATATATATATAACAATAATGTATTTATATATCTTACTTATGTAAAAGTGTCTGAAATAGCATACAAAGTAAAAATAAGGAAAAGAAAATATTCATTGACTAGTTTGTTAGTTTTGCTTAGGGGTGAGAAAGTTATTGTTATTTTTTTGTTATTAATAACAATAACATTAACGGTTTTTTTTTTGAAAAAATCAATGAAATAAGTCTAAGTATAGTTTGTACGAACGTCAAAGGATTACTTTATTCATATAGTATCTTTTCCTACCATTAGATATGAGAACTTGTCGTAAATATTATGAGAAATGCTAACATAACGTAATTTGTTATTGTTATTGCTATGTAACAATAACAATAACAATAACAAATTATGTTGTGTTACTATTTCTCAAAATCTTTACGACAAGTTCTTATATCAAATTGTAGGAAACGATACTGTATGAATAATTTGATCCTTTGACGTTCGCACGAACTATGCTTAGATTTGTTTCATTGATTTTTTTTGAATCAAAAGGCTAATGTTATTGTTATTAATAACAAAAAAATAGCAATAACTTTCTCACCCCTAGTTTTGCTAATTTTTGAAAAAAAATTAATTGAAAATGTCGAGATCTATTTAAAATGATAATTTTTTTTTTGTAAGTAATGTTTCATGATAGCATTGTAAATTTAATATAATTAGTATTGTTTTACAAATTTATTTAAATTTTAATTATTTATTGTTGATGTAAGGTTTTAGCTTCGAAAAATATTTTGTCAAAGAACACTAACGAAAAAAATAATTTAGTAATGCTATGGAAAAAAATCCAGTCTACTTGTTGATTTTGTTTATCTTCTTGTTGTTTGTATCTCGATCAAATTTCATCAAAAAAAGAAATGTACAACCTGTTCTTTTCTTCTTTCATTGTGTTCTGATTTTTTTAATTAATTGATTGATATATTGTTTATGTTAATTTGAGCAAATCTTTGTCGAAGACGAAACGTTATTTAAATAGTATATAATTAGAATTTCAAGAGTTTTGTGAAAGTTTCGTAATTGTGTATGAAACTTATCAACAATCTACCTACAAAGGTAAAAATACTAACCACGTCAATAGTAATCTCATGTAAATACTACATATTACATTCATTTGATTGATTATTTCACATAAATATACATTTTCCATTTACTTTTTGTGTTTTTCTTTCTTATAATAGCAAAGTGCAAAGGGGCTTTCTGTAACAAATAAATCTGCACGACTTTATGGAGTAAGTTAACAATAAATAACTTCTAGTGGATTAAAATTCTATTTTAAACTATGTAGATGAATCGTTTCCTATGTGATCCAAATAGTTTATTGCTCAATTCTTCTACAGCATTGCATTTTTCTGAAACAATGAGTTATATGTCCATTCATGCGTTACCAATATTAGCTTTAGCAACTAATTCATTAATTTTACTTGTTGTTCTGACAAATTCGAGATTAAATCGTTCATCATTTTCTGTTTATATTAAATCAATGGCTATATCAGATACACTTGTTCTTGTACTTAAATTAATGTCATATGAAAATAAAACATTACAAACATTATATTGGCCATCAATGTGTACTGGTCTAGTATTTCTTAGTGATGCTAGTACACTCTTATCTATTTGGACAATAGTATTAATAACAGTCGAACGTGCATTAGTTGTTTTATTTCCATTACGTATTAAAAAATTTGTCTCAGCATCTCGTGCTCGAGTATTGATTATATTAATAACCATAGTGAGTTTAATATTTTCCACCCGTGTTTTATTTATACCAATTGATGTTTCTCCAGAACAAAAGAAACGTTGTCATCCAATATCAAGTTGGCAAAAGTATCGACAATTAAATGAAACAATAACTGAATTTATTCTTTGTTTTATTCCATTAACAATTGTTATTATTGGTAATTGTATAACATTACATACAGTTAAACGAGCTGTATTTCGACGACATCAAATTTTAACAAATCATATTTATCTTAGAAAATCAAAATCCGAAATAAATGAAAATCAATTAATGCTTATGTTATTAATGGTAACAATAATGTTTACGGTTTATTTTTTACCATTTACAATAATAAATGTTATATCAAGATGGGGTTTACCATTTGATTTATGTTTTACACAAAAATCTTTTGAAAATTATTTAATTATACGTTCACTTTGTGAATTTTTAAAAGATTTAAATTTTTGTACAAATTTTATTATTTATTGTATAAGTGGACATAAATTTCGTTATGCATTTTTTTCATTTATTCGTCGTTGTAATCGATTGTTTCCCAGTTTACGCTATTCTAAGAGTAAAAAACATCATAGTGAACAATTATTACAAGTAAATGTACAAAAAACCTATGATTTAAATTCAAAGCAAGCATATAAAGAATCACAAGTTTAAATTTTAAAAATATATATATTCTTGAATTATGTTATGTTGTAGTGTTTGTCAATTATAATTAATAAAAACAATAAAAAGTCTATTATAAATTCCCGATTATTATTCAATAGTCATGCAACTATCGTGATGAAATCATTGATAGTTTTAAGAATAGAGCTGAACCGATGTTAACAGTCATATTGAAATAGAACACCAATCGTGCAAAAAAACAAGAACAAAATTTATTACAAAAAGTTTACACTAACGAGAATGGAACATTATGAACGTTCTTCTTAGTAAAAAAAAATGTTGTTCTTGACTTACTAAATTTTAATAAGATGAAATGAAACATAATTATTATGGATTTTTAACATCTAGAATAGGAAGAAATCTTCCATAAAAGATACTCGATTAGAGATTGCGTTTTTGAACTCCTTGACCTTCTAAATATCTAACTGAAAAACTTGCATGATGTACAGTCTATTTGTTGAAAGAATAATGTTTTGTAGTATACAACAATTGCTCCATAGCTATGTTTATGAATCTCTTTTGAAAACTGCTGATGTCGTAGTTCACGACGTTGTCTTTCTGTTTCCCATATGAGCAGCTGATATATCCATTGTAGTGTTCATTCATTTTGAAATAAAACACTTTTTCAAAATAAATTCAGCCCAAAAATTTCACAGAAAAATGTATAAAAATATTCGTAGCGTGTGTCTGAACGATCATAAGATTTCTGACTGTCTTCTCGGCGTTCTGTTCAGATATTTTCAGTTAGATCTACGAAAATTAGTAGATCAAAAACAGAGACAGCATACTTTTAGCGAACTGCAAGCAACGGCAAATAAGACATGCTTCTGTGACAGAGATTCGTAAGACAATCTTGCGTTCTGTGTCATTCCATGATTTAGGAGTTACTGAAAGAACACTAAAGAAACGAATCAGGCGCTTGGCCCAATGTCTTTGAAAAGCAAAACACGAAAAAGGCGTGCGATGAGCCCAAAATTTTGAAAAATTAGATCTTGGTCAGCTTTAGTGACAAATCTTAGCTGGGTTTCGGTATGAGCTCGAAATTTGTAGCATTAGGTTTGGAGGAGAAGAGAAATCCTTAAAACATGGAAACATACTTTTGAGTTCTTGATATGATGATAATTGTTGAATAGTTCAATATTTTCGACCGAAGTTTTTACTGAAAATAACACACAGTCGAGCACTTACTCTCTGAAATTTTTAGCCAGATATTTTATTTTCTAGCAACAACAGATTGTTGAATGCGAGAGAGTCTTACATAGCTATTTTGTATAAAGAAATCTTTTCCTGATTTAAAATTTACAATCAAAATATATGTTACTAAAATCTATATCATAATGCAAAGCGACACACAAAGAAAAATCTTAACAGATATTTTAATAGATCGTGGATTTTATACAGAGAGTTTTTGTAATAATGAAAGCTAGCCACGGGTAACAAGTGCGAGACGTTTGACTTATGCTTTACATG